ATGTGGCACCGGGGCGGTGTTGACGCCAAGGACGGGCCTTTGCGGTGGTCGGTGCCTCCCTTATGTAACGCTGCGGCCCGGGCGGGGGCAATGCTACCGGCGCACCGGGCTGTCACCCGCCCGCTGCGGAGGGTTCGGTTTTAAAGGAGGGGGGTTGCCTCAAGGGACCGCTGCCGCGGTTTGTAGGACGCTAAGCCGCAGAGGGAGCGCGCTGGGTGCTGGCCCTCCGGGCCCGGGCCTGTCGGCCTGTCACGCCGGTGTGTGCGGTGCCCTTGCTGTGAGGTGTGTTATAACGCAGGCTGCAGGAATCGGTGTCACCGTGACTATGGCAGGTACTTGTGCCGTTGGTTGGGCTTCCTGGAATTGCCCAAATCCTTTCTACATACCCTGCGTTTTTTTCTCTTCCTCTCCTTCTGACTCTTCAAGGTGAACTTCACAGTAGACCAGATACGGGCCATCATGGACAAAAAGGCCAACATCAGAAACATGTCTGTGATAGCCCACGTTGATCACGGCAAATCAACCTTGACTGATTCTCTGGTATGCAAAGCTGGTATCATTGCCTCTGCCCGTGCGGGGGAGACCCGTTTCACCGACACAAGGAAGGATGAGCAGGAACGGTGCATCACCATCAAATCAACGTGAGTTCCCTCCCTTCAGGCACCTCAGTGCTCCTGCTGCGTGGTCTGTGCTTGGGGAGGCTTTGAGTCCTCCACTGGTTTGATCATGAGCTGAAAGAAGACGGCATCAGGCTTTCTCTAGTCTAGTTCAAGAGCTCAGCTCTTGCTCCTGGGGATTGCTTAAATGAAAGAGCGAGCATTGATCAGCTTCTGGGGAATTGTGAAGCACTACCTGGCAGGAGAGAGATGCGCAGTGGGAGCTTCAGCCTTCTGCTTCAGCACTGGGACTGTTGGACGTGGCTGGTGGCCGCTGGAGTCCCGTGGATGCGGTGCTGAGACTGTCTGGGGAGTGTCTCTGGCGATGTACCTGGCGGCTGTGTCACCATGGGCGGCCTGAGGACCCTGAGGGGGATGAAAAGAGATTAAAAAGAGGCCTAGTAGAGAAAAAAACAACTGATAAATCATGGCTTGGAAGAAATGGAACCATCTTTGGCACTTTAAATTGCATGGAGTCAGGAGGGGTTATGATTTCAGGAGGGGTTATGATTTCAGGAGGGGTTATGATTTCAGGAGGGGTTATGATTTCAGGAGGGGTTATGATTTCAGGAGGGGTTATGATTTCAGGAGGGGAGCATAGGAAGGACAGATTTTAGCCTATGCTCCTGGTTCTCTTCCCCGCTGGCCTCCCAGGAACACAAGTCAGGAAATCCTTAAGCTCAGGCACAGCCGTTTGTGTGGGATAAAAGGCTGTTTCTAAGCATTGGGGAGGGGTAATGTGTCAGATAATAATTTTAATAGTTTTTCTTTTATTTTAGAGCTATTTCCCTCTTTTATGAGCTCTCTGAAAATGATTTGGCCTTCATCAAGCAGAGCAAGGATGGTTCTGGTTTCTTGATCAACCTGATTGACTCTCCTGGGCACGTGGACTTCTCTTCAGAGGTCACTGCTGCTCTTCGTGTCACTGATGGTGCCCTGGTTGTTGTAGACTGTGTCTCTGGTAAGGTTTTCTGCAGCTGTATGCAACTGGAGTGTGTGTTGGGTGAGCTTGAAGATGAGGATAATTAATTCCCCTGTGTTGGACAGGCGTGTGCGTGCAGACAGAGACTGTGCTGCGTCAGGCCATTGCCGAGAGGATCAAGCCTGTGCTGATGATGAACAAGATGGACCGAGCGCTGCTGGAGCTGCAGCTGGAGCCAGAAGAGCTGTACCAGACCTTCCAGCGCATCGTGGAAAACGTGAACGTCATTATCTCCACGTATGGAGAAGGAGAAAGTGGCCCCATGGGAAATATCATGGTAGGTGGGAGGCTGCGGAGGCTGCGTTCGAAATAATCCCCTTTAGTGAGAGGCAGCAGTTGTCTCCGTAGTCGTTCTTTCCTATTTCAAGTGGAGAAGTGAGAGGAGAAGGACAAAATGCCAGTACTGCCCAGGCTTGCATTGGTTTGGGGCTCTGGCAAGCCGTCCTCTGAAATCTGTTGGTTCAAGGCTCGAGCAAATAAAGGCTGCAAATACAGGAAAGTATTTTCTCTCTTTACCGAGGGTGCCCTTGTTTTGTAGGACACCTTCTTGCCCACGTCACATCTGTGATGTCGGGTGACGTGAGATCCTAGGCTCCTACGCAGCATCCCTCCCCCGGCCATCTCCTGAAATGGAAGGGAAGGCCAGTAGGTGTTTGCCAGTCCTGTGCTCCCAGCACCGCTCCCCGCTGGGTCCCTGGGTAGCGAGCGGGGCTGTCGGAGAAGCTTGTGCTTTGTTCCCCCCCCCGTTGAGCGCTCTCCTGCATGCTGCAGGTTTTCCTGCGTGGCTGATCCTCCCCGTGAAGGACAGGTTCTTACCTGCACGCACCTCTAAGCCGTTGCTGAGCTGTCTGAGTCCGTAGCTGTCGGAGGTGGTGAAAAACCCACCTAGTTCTGCAGTATGAAGCTAAAATGGCGGGTGTGGGCCGGGCTGTCCCCACAACTTGGAGATGGCTGCTGTCACCGACCTGCTCGAGGGTCCCATAGTCCTGAAGCTCCGTCTTCACACTGTTCTTGTACTTGAGAGTTGTTTGGGACTGAGTAAGCTGTGATGCTCCGTGGCTGCAAGAGCTGGGGCTGCTCCTCTGTAACCCAGCTGTCCTGTCTGTTCCCTCTCAGATCGATCCAGTGCTCGGCACCGTCGGCTTTGGTTCTGGCCTGCATGGCTGGGCTTTCACCCTGAAACAGTTCGCTGAAATGTACGTTGCGAAGTTCGCTGCCAAGGGTGATGCCCAGCTGAATCCATCGGAGCGTGCCAAGAAAGTAGAAGACATGATGAAGAAACTGTGGGGAGACAGGTGAGGAGTCGCGGTGGCTGGTGTTCATGCCGGGCTGGCTCTGTGGGGCTGCGGCCTGGCGCTGTGGAAAATGGGTGAGGAGGGAGGATGTGGTCGTGCCTGCTTACAGCCTCGGTGGCTTGGTCCGTGTGCCAGCAAAAGAGCTGTTGCCCGTGAAATCTTTTGCAGAAACAGATAAATGGGGAGGGGGCGGTGAGTGGGCAACGTGAGTTAAACGCATTGTGGTGGGCTCTGAAAGCCTTGGAGTGATGGGGGAGAGTATGAAGATGGTTCTCACCAGCAGCTCTTGCCTCTGGCCTGAGCAAGCAGAACAAGCTGTTGTAGCTGAGCATTGGTATGTGTCTGACTTGATTCTTTCTCCAGATATTTTGATCCGGCTACTGGCAAGTTCAGCAAATCTGCTACGAGCCCGGATGGAAAGAAACTGCCCAGGACCTTCTGCCAGCTGATCCTTGACCCCATCTTCAAGGTGAGTTCCTTAATGTTGAGCCCTTTCTGGTGCCTTATGCTTTGGTTCAGTTCCAGTGGGTGATGATGGAAAATTTCTTCACTTTGACCTGACTTGTCTTGATTGAAGAAATTCAAATATCTGACACCTCTAGTTACCCTGAGCGGGCAGGGAAGCTGCTGGCAGGTACTGCGCAGGCCAGGGTGAGCCTCCAAGTGGGTTCAGCCGAGTGATGAGCGAGAACAGAGATTCTCTTCAGAGGCACTTGTGCTGCTGCTTCAAACTGGGTCACCGGCGGCGGCGTTCATGACTGCTGCTGCTGTTCCAGGTTTTCGATGCCATCATGAACTTCAAGAAAGAGGAGGCGGCTAAACTGATTGAGAAACTGGACATCAAACTTGACAGCGAAGATAAGGACAAGGAGGGCAAACCCCTGCTGAAGGTGAGATTGGGCTGAATCATCTGCGGGGGAGGAGACAGGTAGTTGTGCTGCTCCGCCTACGTCGTTTATGAAGCAGCTACACCCCCTGCTTGGGTGGGAAGGTGCTGTTGGCAGGTTGGGGAAGCGAGGGGAGAGGTTAACTGCCAGGTCGTGACCGATCCGACGGGGTCTTACTCCTCCGATCTCTGCTCAGGCCGTGATGAGGCGGTGGCTGCCTGCCGGAGATGCCCTGCTGCAGATGATCACCATTCACCTGCCTTCTCCCGTCACAGCCCAGAAGTACCGCTGTGAGCTGCTCTACGAGGGACCCCCTGATGATGAAGCTGCCATAGGTAGGATGAGCCACTGCTTTGCTGCCAGACTTCTCTCCCCATAAGTGCTCGGTGCTCCAACGTGCTCGTAGCCATCTTGTCCTCTCGAGTACGCAGATCGGTAATTCTTGAGTTTCTAGATTTTTCTAGTACGGACCAAACAAGCCTACGAGCTTTCCTCTGGAGGACTGAGCTACTGAAGTAGCTGGAGAGTAGCCAGGGTGTGTGGCGAAGGCTGAGGCTGAGCCTCTGTTCATTTAAAAGACCAGCAGCAGGATCTTTCTGTCTGGTTGGGCTGGCCAGCCGTCGGAACAGAAGTCCCCAGGCTGGGACAGTAGTGGGTGCAGGTCTCGTGTTGGGATTCGGGGGTGGGTAGGACCCAGGGCCCGTACCCCAATGTGAGAAGTGGTACTGAACTAAGCTGATCTCTCTCCCTCCTCCCAGGTATTAAGAACTGTGACCCCAAAGGCCCCCTGATGATGTACATCTCTAAAATGGTGCCAACCTCTGACAAGGGACGTTTCTACGCTTTTGGACGTGTCTTCTCTGGTCTCGTCTCGACTGGCTTGAAAGTCAGGATCATGGGACCAAACTACACACCTGGCAAGAAGGAGGATCTGTACCTGAAGCCAATTCAAAGGTCAGTCCTGGCTGGGGTGTGCTCTGGGGTTCAGGTGGGTGGTTCTGGTGCCGTCCTGGGTCTCCTCTGCTCTCTGAGGCCAGGGAAGGTGCTTGGCTGTGGACTTCAACTCCACGATGCCGCCTGCTGGGACCTCCTCTTCCAGACTCCAGTAAAACAACTTTCTCATTCACCAGGACCATTCTCATGATGGGCCGCTACGTTGAACCCATCGAGGACGTGCCTTGTGGAAACATTGTCGGTCTGGTTGGTGTCGACCAGTTCCTTGTGAAGACTGGAACCATCACCACCTTCGAGCACGCTCACAACATGAGAGTCATGAAGTTCAGCGTCAGCCCTGTCGTGCGCGTGGCTGTGGAAGCCAAGAACCCGGCTGACCTGCCCAAGCTCGTGGAGGGACTGAAGCGTCTTGCCAAGTCTGACCCTATGGTGCAGGTGAATACCCGAAGTGGTTTTGGGGACAGGAGAAACCCTGGTCCCGCTGGCACAGGAGGCTGCTTGCTTTTAATCGTGGTTGTACTGGGGGTGCTGGCAGGAAAGTCTTGAGTATTGATCCCAGCCCTACCAGAGTGGGAAGGAATGGTGCGTTTCACCTTGGGCTGGGTGCTCAGTTGTCCCCAGAGCAGTGGGAAGAGCACCTAAAAGCAGCTCTACGAGTCAAAGATGGAGATCAGAGACGATCACTAGTATTTTTATGTGGGAGAGCTTTCGTTGTGTGGCAGTCAAAAAGCCTCACCTGCCCTGTAAATGGTCTTTTCAGTGCATCATCGAGGAGTCTGGGGAGCACATCATCGCTGGTGCCGGGGAGCTGCACCTGGAGATCTGCCTGAAGGATCTCGAAGAGGACCACGCCTGCATTCCTATTAAGGTAGGGGGGCTCTGAGCGGGTGTTGGGGGAGCTGGGGTTTGGTTGGTGGCTCACTGCTCTCTGTCCCGGCAGAAATCGGATCCTGTTGTGTCCTACCGTGAGACGGTCAGCGAGGAATCCAACGTGATGTGCCTTTCCAAGTCCCCCAACAAACACAACAGGCTCTACATGAAGGCTCGGCCCTTCCCAGATGGTTTGGCTGAAGACATCGACAAGGGCGAGGTCTCGGCTCGTCAGGAGCTGAAGCAGCGAGCTCGCTACTTGGCTGAGAAGTACGAGTGGGATGTCACCGAAGCCAGGAAAATCTGGTGCTTCGGTCCCGACGGCACCGGCCCCAACATCCTGACCGACATCACCAAGGGAGTGCAGTACCTGAACGAGATCAAGGACAGCGTGGTGGCCGGCTTCCAGTGGGCGACAAAGGAGGTAGGGGCAGGGCTGGGATCGCGCTGGGGCAAGTGGCGTCAGGAATGCTCTCGCACACGTTTCTTTTCGGAGAAATTTTGGAAAACCGGTCCTGTACGGTGCAACACGTTTATAATTCAGAGCTGTCTTTTAGGATAAACGAAACTCGATGAGAGCTGGGGTGCAGATGTCACATAAGCTTAGACACACACACCCCCCAACCTCAAGACAAAACATTTTCTCCCAGGGCTGCAGAGAAATTAATCATGGCAGCGCGTGCTTAAAATTCTGAAAAGCTTTTCCGAAAGCCAAACGCAGCAGCAGGGACAGGAGCTATTAAGGGGAGTAACACAGTTGGCATCAAAAGACAGTGAAAAATACTCAGAGAGCCTCAGCAAGGATCGGGTCTTGTTTCCTGATTATTTTTTCAGGACTAGACAGGAGATGACTCGAAAATAACAAGTTTACAGGTAGACTGGGAACAGCAACAGGAGAGTGTGGGGGTTTTTTTTTCCCGTTAACATTGCTTTTTGTGAAATTAGTTTCTGTTGGAAGATCCCTGCCAACAGCTTTTTATTCTTGGTCCCAGTATTGTGGAAAAACTACTTTTTCCTGGCCAAATACTTGGGTTGCAGCAGCATCAATGTGTGTCGGCGCTTCTGCTGCTGGCGTGAGCCTCGGAGCCGTCACATGAAGATACAAGTAAATGGTTTGGGTGCAGCCCCTGTGGAGCTGCAGTGGTGGCTCGGGGGCAGGAGTAGCTGGTTCTTGAGTCCTGGGCAAGGAGGATGACCTGCTGGATGGCTCCTCGGTGGGCCAAGTGGGCTCTTGTGGTTAGGGAGCCCCCGCTGTCCCCTGACGTCTGCTGGCGTGAGCCTCGGAGCCGTCACATGAAGATACAAGTAAATGGTTTGGGTGCAGCCCCTGTGGAGCTGCAGTGGTGGCTCGGGGGCAGGAGTAGCTGGTTCTTGAGTCCTGGGCAAGGAGGATGACCTGCTGGATGGCTCCTCGGTGGGCCAAGTGGGCTCTTGTGGTTAGGGAGCCCCCGCTGTCCCCTGACGTGGTGTTGGCTGACCCCCTGCTCCCCTTTTCCAGGGAGTCCTGTGCGAGGAGAACATGCGTGGCGTGCGTTTCGACGTGCACGATGTCACCCTGCACGCCGACGCCATCCACCGCGGGGGCGGGCAGATCATTCCCACCGCCAGGAGATGCCTGTACGCCTGCGTGCTCACCGCTCAGCCCAGGCTCATGGAACCCATCTACCTGGTGGAGATCCAGGTGAGGAACCTCTGCTCAGCCCAGAAGATCCCGGGCAAAGCAGCAGCGAGCGGGTGGTGCGCGGTCCTGACGCCTCTCTCTTGCAGTGCCCGGAGCAGGTGGTGGGTGGCATCTACGGGGTGCTGAACAGGAAGCGTGGCCACGTGTTTGAGGAGACCCAAGTGGCCGGCACCCCCATGTTCGTGGTCAAGGCCTACCTGCCTGTCAACGAGTCCTTCGGTGAGTGGCTGGGCCTGGGCCCGTGGTGGCTCCCGGGAGCTCGATACCGACCCCAGGAGGGAGCGCGGGAGGGTGTTTGTGTCCAGCTGTCTGACCACAAGGACTTGTAGAGTTGTTGAGGTTGGAAAAGACCCTTAGGATCAAGTCTCACCGTAAACCCAATGCTGCCAAGGCCAGCACTGAGCTGTGTCCCCAAGTGCCATGTCTGTGTCCTTTAAACACCTCTGCAGTGGTGACTCCACTGCTTGCCCAGGCCAGCCGGTGCCTGACAGCCCTTTCCATGAAGATGTTTTTTTTCTCATGTCCGATCTAAACCTCCCCTGGTGCAACTTGAGGTGGTTCCCTCTTGTCCTGTCACTTGGGAAACCAACATCACAGGATGGTTTGGGCTGGAGGGGACCTTTTACCGCTCGCCTAGAGCAGCCCCTGGCAGCGAGCAGGGACATCTTCAGCTCCATCAGGTTGCTCAGAGCCCTGTTCAACCTGACCTTGAATGTTCCCAGGGATGGGGCATCGACCACCTCTCTGGGCACCCTGTGCCAGGGTTTCACCACCCTCAGCCTAACAAATTTGTTCCTCACATCCAGTCAAAATCTCTCCTCTTGATCTAAAACCATTACCCCTCATCACTACATGTCCATCTGAGCACTTGAAGCAGTGAGAGGCTGCCTGAGGGCTCCCCAGAGCCTTCTCCTCCCACCCCAACTGTCCCTCATGTCGGAGGTGCGCTGTGGTTGGCATCTCTTAAGTTTTTGGGTTCCTTTGCTCCAGGGTGGTGACCCAGCGCGTGGGTTCTGCCAGCGGTGACCCCCAACCACGTCCCTTCCACCTCACACCCCCTCTCTCTTCTTCCTCCCAGGTTTCACAGCGGATTTGAGGTCCAACACAGGGGGCCAAGCCTTCCCCCAGTGCGTCTTCGATCACTGGCAGATCCTGCCCGGGGATCCCTTCGACAGCGCCAGCC